TCCGACTTTTGGTAAATTGTTGTTTCCCAAGATGTTTCTTTCATGACCTTGAGTTAAGAAGAAGTGGCATTCCTTGTGAGACCATCCATTTGAGAAAATTGGGATGATTACCTCTCCAGTGATATTTATTGCATTGTTCGTAAATCCGCAATAGAGTTCTTTAGTCGCTTTATCCACTGGATAAATTTTCACATAAGGGTCTCGTAACTTCAACTCGTGTAACACATTCTGTTTAAGGAAGCTTACAGGGCTTGCTGAATCCACCTGTATATTTGAGAATTACTTGGTTTTCATTTCCTAAGCCGATGTTTAGTAGTTTCTTCAGTTCCTTTCCGTGGTCGTCATAGATAGTTGTTACGTTTAATACAGAATAATCATCGTTATCGCTCTGTCCGGACTCCGACCATGCGTTGATTACTCCACAGCATTCTCTATTGGCGTGGTCGATATGTACATCCGGTTGTTCCGAAGGATAATTATGATCTGTATTATTTACAATTTGACTATCCACAATATTTACATTTTTACGGCGTGATTTACAGAGTCTAGTAAAATGTCCTCGATATTTACAAGTCGTACAAGTCGTATCTTTAGCGGGGCAAACCGCTAGATGTCCTTTTGTAAAGTTTCCGCCGCATTTCATACATGTGTTAGTTCTTTCGATGTTTAGGGTGGGTTCTCTTTTTACATTAAAATGAATAAAAGATTTGTTGGAAGAATATCCGTTGGATTTAAAAGTACTTGTCATTTTGATGTGGTTTGTTATTCCTTTTTCGTCAATCAGGGCTACATTTAAGGCTTCTAGTGGAGGTAGGGTTTCCTTGAGAAGTTTCCGTTGGATGTCCGAGTTCTTCATGTTATTGATAAAAATGTCTCGAATCCATTCATCTTCTCCTGTGGGAATGTTACATCTTTTTGCCATTTCTGCAAGTGCCCCCCAAAAATTCGCCCAAAATGAATCCAGCTCCATTAATCAATTTCAATTCGAATCCATCAAAATTTTCGTTTTTATTAATCAAATTTAATTCCAATTCTAAATTTCAGAGAAGCTCATCAGAAAATGAGATCATTGACTTCCATTTCGGATAAAATTATTAACTTAACTATCAGTACAAAGGTAGGGGAGGGAGTGCGAAAAAACCTTAAAAAGTGTGCTGGCAAAGAAACGAGAAAAGACCGCAAAATTGTCCCCAAAAACGAAATTTAAGTTGACAAACAGCTAATCAACAACTCTGTTCTTAGAACCAGCTGTTTTTAGAATGACAAGATTTCAAAAAAACGGTAGAAATAACAAACTTCACGAACTTAAAATTCAATAAAAATACATCCATGAGCCCACAGATAGCATCAAAGGATCGAAAAATTTTCACAACCGGTAAATCAGACCTTTTAGACGCCAATCTGTGAAAAAAATCAACATCGGAAGACAATCAAAGGGCACCAATTAAGGAGTGCATTCTGGCCGAAGACAGAGAAGTATTCCTTCGATTGACAATTAACTGTCAAGATTCTGGGACGACTCCACTGTGGTTAACAACTCTGTCATCATTGACAATCGAGTGGTTATCCCTATGTTTTTGAGAAAGGTAGTCCTGATCAAATTATACCTCACACGTCCTGGACAAAAACCCATGATCGACAAGGCTGTGTATCTGTGGTGGCCGAGAATGCACCAAGAGATAATTGTGCAGTGCTTTTAGTTTAAGAACCTAAAGTCTGCTAAACCGTTCAACCATTAACTAATCTTGCAGACCCTAATGAAGGGCTTCATCCGAATTTCGCGGGTCACTGTTAAATAAAGAAGGGAAATAACTATTTTCAGTAGCAATGGAGCTTTTTCAAAGTATCCAGCTGCAATAATAACCAAACCAACCGGTGCGGATGAAATGAAAAAGTTATCAATTGAATACAGCCAAAATATTGGTACCTCAAAATCAATTAGGACCATCAAAATTCCCAATCAAATAGAACAAGATTAAAAGTTTTCGATAGAAAAAAGGAACAAGTCATAAATGATGTCTAGTTAAAGATCATCGTGGGTGAGAGTGAACGCAGTATTTAAAAAAATAGAAACTAGGCTACCTTGCTCTAGAACAATTGGCTAAGCAGCCAGTCACTGGAGGCAGCTTACGCGACACTTGATAAAAATCGAATGCTCAGAAAAGTTGCGGAGGTTGACTGAAATACTGCCACTTCTCGCAGCCAGTTTATGAAATATGACCTGAATCAGTGAACAATGAGATTCCAAACAGAGAAAGGCCAGAATCATAAGGATCTAAATTGCTTATTTTACGATCTCGTCAGTTAATCGAAGTAAATGATTTTATTCGGTAAAATATTTGATTTGAAATCAGGATTCACCTTAACCAACTTGTTCAAAGGCAAAATCGTCAAAGCAAAAAATCACACTTACTTCCATGATAAGGGCGAAGTGATGAGAACAAAATGTTAAATGCAATTTCCGATTTGAAATCTAACAAAAGAAGGAGCCCACTAACACCAGTAGCTAACCAGCCATATGTAGCCTCACCAATATTGGCACAGGGTCACGGGAAGACAATGAAGTAGTCAGTACTAGTTTTGCATAGAGATAATTTATCATCAGTTTCCGCTTCCTCGTAAGAAGTAGTAACGACAGGACTACTGGCCAAGTCATCAAAGAATCAGGACCAACCAGGATCATCAAAGAGTCATCAAGAACCGATTAGTAGCTCATGCTTTCTGAATACCAGCAACAAAATCCGACGAGAGCTCGTCGGAAAAGGGGGCAGAAAAGGGGGGGAAATCCGAGAGCTGCCTTCAGGGAGCTCGTCGGATAAAGGGCAGAAGAATTACCAAAAGCGAGTCAATTCATCTTTAATTCTCCGAGAATACAAACCTCAGTAGGGACAGACGCATAGACAGGAACATCATCGGGTCCTCATTCTAGACCAGAAGAGCTGATTCTGCAAGAATCATAGCCCAGCCCAGTTCTACCAACCATCAATTTCATCCCGCCAGAAAAAAAAAGAAAAAGGCACATCAAAAGAAGATACGAAGAAATTAGAGGTCACGCTTAATCTCCCAAGCTTATAGGTATAAAATGTTTCGCAATTTGAGGTCACTCAGACGGTAGACAGATCAAAAGTCGAATCTTAAATGTAGTAATCAACGAGAGCCTCCAACCGCTATAAGATGCGAACAAGACTGAAGCTATCAAAAAACTGTGAAACTAACAAAAAATATTTGAGACTATATTTTTATCTGAGAATTTTTTTAAATAGTCTGCGGGTTTTGGCCACTGACAAGGGAGTTAATTTAGGTAATACTACTCTTAGAAAAAGAAAAATAACTAAAATTGCTTTAAAATTGTTAAAAACTTCGACTACAAGTTAACTCGCTTTTTCATTCATTCCTTTGAGTGAGTCTGAAAACCGACAAAAAACCTCATTTTTCTTGTTCATCTTTCTCACTTCTGAGATAACTCCTCAAACATGTTTTTGGAACGCAAATCATGGGCAATTGAACGTAAAAAACCTAAAAGACCTAAAACTGAACGTAAAAAAATTGCTTTAAACAAAGTTCCTTGCTTTCACTTCTGTACGTGCTGGAGTTATGGGCAACGAATTGAAGTATGAAAAAGATCTTTTGCTAGAAATTTATCAGAGACCAGAATAAACCTTTCATACGGCGTAGTAAATCTATTCATATTCTTTGTGTTGTTCGGACGCAGTCCAAATTACTACTGCTTTTTGATACCTGTCAATGCTATTGAGTTACGCACGTTTTGTTTCGACACTCTCTAATCTTCGATTTAAAAATATATAATTTTTTTTCTTGTAAATGACACTCTCTCATATTGATCTTAAAAATATATAAATTTCTTTTCGTGTAAATAATTTGCAGCAAAAAGTAAATTGCTCTGTATTAATTTTTCTACTTTTTTATTGATGTTTTTCTCACAAAATTGCGCTGATTAGGTTGATCTTTTGAATAGCATTTGAAGAAGTTTTGCGCAAAATTACTTTTCTTACCGCGGAACCCTTAGTTAGCAAAATCCTAGAGAGATCTCTTGAAACTTGAAATTTGCGGCAACGAATTTTCCTCACGTGAGTTCAATTCACTATAACACTGGGGGAAATTTTCCTGCTTGCAATTTTTTGTTGAATTTGTCAAAAAATATATTAGTTAAAGTTTGATTGGTCAAAATTGAAATTGTGATTTTGTTACAACCACCCCTTCAGTTTTTAGGCAATTCAATCAATTTGATACCGATTTTATACAGATTATATACAAATTATCTACAGATTATCTACAGATTATCTACAGATTATCTACAGATTATTTACAGATTATCTACAGATAATCTACAGGTTTTATTGTATAAAGATTATATACTGACTATATGCAGATTATCTACAGGTTATATACAGGTTTTACACAAAAGAAAAATCGATTATTTTGGCACTAAAGTCCATTTATTTTTACAGAATCGTAGCTGTACAGAATCGATTATGGTTCGAAAAATGGTTGTCGATAAACCGATTTCATACTTAGGTTAATCTGTAGATTTTTCAGTATATAATTGATTTTTATCCATTTTTGTCACTACTGCTGGATATTATTTGTTCTATATGAAACTAATTGTGAAATAATTCGAAATTAAAGCCTTACAATTGTAATTAGATAGTGTTCTAAATGAATTTATTGAAGCGTTTCTGGGATATCTCAGAACCATTACATAATAGTTGCTGTGAGGGGGATTATATAGGAGCAAGAGGAGGTTTCCATTGCAGGACTCTCCGTGGAGGTGGAAAGAAATATGCACTTTGATGAATAACAAAAATAAATCCCACAATTGATTCCCATGCCTCGCAATTAGAAAAATTAACATATGGTTTTTTAAGACCATGATTGAAGAAAAGCGGTTTTTTCCAAATTTTGTTTATTCATCATACATGCAAAAACAAAAACCAGGAAAAACAAACAGTTTTTTATTAAACACCAGAAACTTAACTAACTTTCAAGTAGAAAAAGAAACATTGTGAAACTGAAGGCTCTTTGCAGCTTATTTCGAGTCATCTTCAATTGTACGAATGTCCCAATTTGTAATCCCATCAGTTGGAGTGGTATATATTAAAAATATTTTGTTCAGCTCAGGAAAAATTTGCCCATTTGAGTTCAAATCCAGTTTTTCTGTTTTTCAATAAAAAGAAAACATTTTTCAAACCAGCAGTTTATGGCACGGACAAAATTGTTTTTTGAAAATTAGAAGTAATTTTCAGCAGAGCTAATTTTTATCCATGTAAAATAATTAATCAGCGTTTTATGTTTGAACTTCAACCTTATAATTTGATGACTTGATCAAAGGTCAGCAAAATGAACAGAATTCATTCTTTCTTCCAGACCTTTTAATGCTGAACTTCTTGTAAATGGCAACTTAAGTTCGTTTGAACTCGACCTCAAACTTCCGACATAAGATTCAAAACTCAGCTTCAAGACTCCTTGCAAAGTTCTGAAAGGTTATTCTACTTTCTGAAAACTGATAGCCAAATGAGCAAAACTGCTCGTATCAGAAGAAATTCATGTGTACACATACCTCCATCCGCAGATAAATGGTTTTCTCAAAAGGGCGAATTTCTGGAACATTTGAGGTTTCCCGAGCTCTCCAAAACTCATCGTTGAGTTTATTTCGCCAAATTCATCTGCACCGTAAGCGAAAACAAATGAGAAATTGTTTTTGTTTGGCTAATTTTTTTCCGTTAAAGTAGATTATTTTAACACCCATGGCGACTTTAGAAACGAATAAAAGTTTAGGGCAAACATTTACATACCTACCATTATGAAAAAATATTGTGTTCGTCCTTTCTTCAATATGCCAAGGGTCTGAATTTAATTTTGAAAAAATATATTTTTAAAGGACGATAAAAAGGTAGAAACTTTAAACGAATAGGAATGTTAAAACTAAATTTTGCGTGCAAAATTTTTAAAAAGCTTCAAAACGCATTTTTTTTAATATTCAGTTGAAGTAAGACAAAAAAAGATGAAAGCAAAACTTGCTCAGAAACTCAGCAGACATAAGATGGTGTAATTAAATATATCCTTTTAGTTTTTTCTACAACACCAATAACTACGCCAGAACTAAGGGACCAGTTGCAAAAAAACTGTACAAAAGACTATGTGAAAAAGAGCTCCTAATGTTGCCCACTAAAAATTAGGCAGGTGTTTTTCACAAAAAAATTCAACAAAACGTTATAAAAACTTTTTCAAGCAAGAAAACCAGTTTTTTTTATAATAATGACAAATTATAGCTAATAAACTACAATAAACTAATATATTCGAAAACTTAAGAGATTATACTCTTAAATTTTGTTGACCTACATAAGAAACTCACTTTTATATAGTGTAAAAAAGAATACAATTTAACTTAAAGATCAATTTCAAATACTAGTTCGATTGCAAGGATTTTTTCAAGTTTTGACCCATTTTTTTCTCCTTTTGTTGGTCTGGGTCTTGACAAATAGCCTGTTGACAATAACGCGGCCTGGTTGACTCTTCTACCCAGAACAGCAGTCAGCGGGGCGAAAAATCCCCCCAGTAATTTTGCGTTCCTAACAGAAGACGTTGAATTTTTCATGAAGTCAGGCAGTTGCAAAACTTATAAGTTGCCCAGATCTTTGAATGTTTTCTTTTCTATGCTAAAAGTCAATAACTTGCGAACATCAGTTTCATCAGGAGTATTTAGAAAAGGATAAGATGAAGTCTGAAGTCTAGACTACAGGTGCAAGTTTGTTTGTCTCAGCCAAATAGCTGAGAAATAAGTCAACCTAAATCTTCCGAAATATTCCCCCACTTGCTCAGTCAAGTTGAAGGATTTTCCATGTTTTCTATCAATAGCTAAATTTCAAAAAAATATATGTTTTTTTTCTGAATTTTCACGTTCCAGAAATGACAGAGGTAGATTCTATTGTTTTTTAAACTAAATTCCACATAACAACCTAAATATCCCACTCCATTTTGGGTATTTAAGGCTCTTATTCAATCTTGTATATCTCATTCATACTTATTAAAAAGAACTACTTAAATCATCTATTCAGATAACTATCATCTCAACTGAAAGAACAGGTTGTGACTATGATCTATGATGAAATCTAATATTAGACTATTGCTTTAATTGATTTATTAAGATGAATGAAATTTTCTATCAAAATAACAAGGCCAAAATTTGCACTAGATAGGCAAACAGTTTTGTGTCTGTACGTTCCTGGACTCACAGATAAGTCCTTAAACATGTTACAATTTTGTCGGAACGATCAAAGAAAAGGAAAAAAAAAACGAAAAAAGAACAAAATGAGCTTTCAGTTGCGGAGTCCTTGTTACGGAATCCGCTTCCAGTTCACAAATTGCACTGTTTGGCCTCTTTATGGCCGAGCTTTGTTTTTTTGGTATGCTTGTTTTGATAACAATTATTCCTCTAATTCTGGCTCATTCATCGTCCACGAAAAAGTCAAAATTGATAGATTTTTTGGTGACTTTTTTGGCCAACTTTACCAAATCAAATTGCACCAAATTGCATCAAAATTCTGCTGATATCCTGGTGAGTTTTGTCTTGATCACTTTTTGTCTAAGTTCAACCCACTTTTAGACAAAAGCGTTTTAAATTTCAACTTTTGATTTGTGTCGTCCGGTTAATTTGAATCAGTCAGAACTGTACTATCTATGCTGCCGCAGATGAATATCCCAATTTTCTGTAGGAAAAGAAAAAACTTACAAAAATCAGCTCTCGTAAAGGGGCTCATCGAAGCAGCCAACTCAGCAAAACAAATGGCAGTAATTTGAAAAAGATCCCCAATTTCCTCATTAGGTCTTACGGTTTTTTCTTCTTTAGCCAAGAGGAGAGTTTTTGTTTAGTAGAAGGTGAGCATAATTTTGTCCCGACTTTCCCAGAAAGTGACAGAATGTTTGTGCTCGAGTTGGTTTTTTTTTGCTCCAGACCAATTTGACTCTCCAACTAGCCTTTTTTGACGGAACATATATCACTTTCTACTTACTTAGGTTGCGGCGAGGTCGTTTTTGAAACTTCTTTTTCATTTTTCTTTAAATTTCAACAAACACGGCCCTTTTTACTTTTCCCCCACCTCAATTAAGCATCAATTTTTTGTGTAAAGGTTGGTTTGATAAGGTTAAGTAAGAGCCCGAATGATGCTAGGCAGGGTATAATTAGTCCGGATGCCAAGTTTGTTAGCAAACATAAAATGTTAGCAGAAATTACTTAAAAATTTACTTTACAGAATTCGCAGGTGGGGGAGAGGCAAAAGAGCCACTAACATTTTTCCATAGAGATTACAAGGCAGTCTGAACAATCGGGGCTTTGCCTTGACACGAGCAGTGTAGTTCTTGTTTAGTCGTGTGCAGTTGTCTGCTAAGTAAGTGTGGCTGTCGGCAACTTAGGGGACAAGCAGATGAGAATTTGCTGCTTCAAGTGAAAGACCCACACGAGTGGGATACGAACTGCAACGAATTTTGTTGAGCAACTTGGAATTATTTTAATCACTTTAGATTTTTTTTGATTTTTTCACGCAAAAATTCTCTTCAATTTTGATCAAATTTGCAGAAAGCACCTTTAAAATCTCTAAACTTACTTGGAAACTAACCATAATCAAAATTTTTTCTCGTATTTGAAAAAAATCTCACAAGAATTTTGGTATCACGGCAGAGCCCTGAAATTAATCACTGCCCTTGAAGGTACCCCTGTAATTTTTTCATCACAAAAAAAATTTCTAAAACATTGGACGTTTTCGTTTTTCATTTTTGGTGTTAAAAATCACTTAACAAGCAATGTCTTGTACAAAATGATTCCCAAAGCGCCTGGTTTTCTATTAGGAAGGCCAAAAAGTCTGCCTAAGATCAAAGACCAATCAATTCTGAGCCGAGTTAAATCAAACTTGAGCATTAAAAGTACGCTATAAAACACGCAGTTCTTATCGCAGGTTGGCAAAATTGGTATTTTTTGAAGCACCAGAACTCTTCAAAACAGGCCAGAGCTGACAAATATTTTTGAACTTCAGCTCAAATCCTTGATGTCTTCCTGTGATCATAAAAAGATTTTGTTACAAATGGAACAATTATTTCGTCATTTTTAGCAGCAGAAAAATTTGGCCGCAACATCCACGTTGATGCAACATGAAAAATGTCTTACTGGATACAGTTTTCTTTCGCTAGAATATGTGCAAAAAATTGATTTCTTAAACACATGAGAAGCAATATAAGAAAACAAATTATCAAGCCCAAACAAATCGTATTTGATTCTATGAAAACATGCAAGGGCCATCTCCAAGGAGAGCCACATAGCCACCTTCATTTCCACTGGAAAAAATTTCAATCCCAAAATTCTGGGAGCTTGAAAATAGCCAATTTGACCATCCTCTGGACTAATTTATGCGAACTTTGAATATTTTATTACGAACAAAAATAAATTATGCGTGGTAAATTAATCAACAAAATAATCAACAAATTGTTCAAAATAAATTGAGGCTAGCTAATCGGTCGTATTAATTTCGTACGACTCAAAACTTTATGCTTGTTCTTTGATAATTTCCGAGAACATAGGTTTTCATGATTTTTTTCACGAAACGTATTCGATTTGGATTAAGGGGCAGTCGAATCATTCAGGGCTTTGCCCTGATATACTAGCAGTCTTGTTTTAAATCAGATATTTGGTTGTCAATGAACACAAAAAATGGTTACTGACTTAGCTTTTGTTCTGCAATTTTCTAACGAAATTAGCAAAATTGAATAAATAGTCATGCATCTACCACTAAAATTTCATACCGAAATGTTCATTCAGTTTTTTTCAAAACCAGGATATGAACTGCTCTTCCAGAATGGAAAATTTAGTTGCAAAAACCCGCGATATTACGTAAATCAAGCTAGCAAAATTTATGCTTTTTTGTCTATATGCAATTTTATACAGCCCGATATTTAATTGAAAACGCATTGAAACCAAACTACTTAATCTCCTACTTTTCCGTTCAAACACAAATTTTTGCTCTTGAATTACTGATAGCGCCTGTCGGACGGCGGCAATGAACTAACAGAACAAAAATTGTATGTAAATGTTGATCAATTTTTGCGATTAAAGTGATAATTTTGTTTACAAATTTTCGTTTCCTATATATATTATTGAGTCTCTCAATTTAAATTTTGACTATTTTTTCTCGGTGTAATCCTTCATCTCTAATCATTCATAAATCTCAATGAAAGTGCAAGTTATTTCGAAATGATAAAAAAAAGTTTGAAGAACTCATTTTACGTTACAATCGTTTTGATCTTATTTGGTCATGTATTTTGATCATCTTG